GCGTATCTTTAATAATTTCGCTATTTTTATGCTCTAAATTAACTAATATATTAAGCCACGTATAATAGAAAAAAATTCAAACAAATCTTTTTTAAGAGCAAAGAAAGTGCTATATTTGAGAATGTCAACTTGGACAATTAAGAAATATTACAAACTATTAAAGGACACTCCTATTTTACACTTTAATTCTTTAATACTTTATACAAATTTATTTAAGAGTAAAAAATCTGCTTCCTTAGACAAAAGTTTATATAATGTTTATGGAATTCAAATCTATAATTAAAGTCCCTTTTTTCATGAATAATATACCGTATATATCAGATATACATTAGATATCAATGGTAATCCAATCTCTTGAGTTAAAATTTTTAATTTCCATCTGTGTCAAAATATAAATCAATCCATTTCTGTGATTGGTTTCAAAGTAAACATCGTCCATATTAACGTATGCACTTAATAAATAATAAACTAGATTTGAGTCAAATTTGATATCTACATTTTTTTTTAGTTAAATTGTTTAACTCCATTAATCAAATTAACATGTTGGGTAGGATTAGTGACAACCTATGGAAATAATTAGAAATAATTTAAATTATAGGTATAATTTGACATTATGAATTTAGCAGTGTACACGAGAAAACTATTTAACCTTTTTATCGTCCTGAGTGGCATTGTCGATGCGCTACATTTGTCACATTCGCAACATTATTCATGAATTTATTATAACAATTGTACTTTCTCTTTTTTTAAAACTATTTCGTATTTCACGTTTTTTAAGAATAAAAAATCCGCTGTAACGTATTCGACAGCGTCAATTTGGCAATCGAGAAACTAAAAAATATGATAAAGTGTTAAAAAAATTTGTCACATTCTACTACTTTTTTTTAACACTGACACTTCAAATTTTTTTAAAGAGCAAAAAACCACTACATTTGATAGCATCAATTTGGCAATTGGACAATTAAAAAATGTAAAATCAAAATTTAAAAAAATGTAAAAAAATATAAATTATTAAAGAAATTTATCGCTACTCTACAACTTTTCTCTAACTCTTCGTTACTTTTCATACCTTTTTTTAAGAAGAAAAAACCACTATATTTGATAGCGTCAATTTGATAAAAATAAACGACTAATAAAAATTCTAAATTATTGTATTAAAGAAATTTGACGGTATTCCCGGTAGTTTCCAAACAAATGTAGCGTGCCGACAATATTGACAGGTGCGACAAAACCGGCGCGAAGTCTGTGACATAAATAGGTAGGTAGGTATTAATAAGGCCAGGATCGGGAAACCGCCCGGGGTGCTGCGGGACCGCTGGCGTCATCGTTGTGTCAGTGACGTCATCGGGAACAGGTGACAGCCGCTGTCAGTGAGTGACGTCAAGCAGAGCGGAGCGGAGCGGACATCGAACCTCGGCCGGCGCGTTTGCGCAGACTGGCGCGTACGTGGAACGGGAAATGCACGTACGTGATGTTCGCACGGACGGAAGCGATAACCCACGCGTGAAAATTACGAACAGGTTAAGCGGGGGGAGCGATTCGCGAACGGCGAGATAATCATCGTCACCGTGGCGACGACGAGAACCGCGGAGGTTCGCGGTGACAGCCGATAAAGCTCGCCGCGGTACCACAATCGTCGCGACGCTCGATCTCGTCTCGTATGAAATGTCATGACTCACCAGCGACGCAGAAACGTTGCTCACACCTCTGGATAGCCTCTCGCGTCGGCGAGGTCCTTGCCAGGCGATGGTCCACTCGTGGAAATGCACGCACACTCACAACACTGCACTCGAATTCGCGGAAACGGTCGCGGCCATTTTACCAGACCATCACGGCGGAATCGTGCGGCGTATCACTGCCGTATCGCGACGCGACGGACATGGTGGCGCCATCTCGCGCAATCGCGGACAAGCTCGACGCGCGCGTTTATATAATTTTCCTCGGTATCGACGGTCGATCCCCCTTACTTAGCTATATTATTTACGTAATTCCTATATAAATTATACATAAATTTTGAAAGATACGACATTTATAAGGCTGAAGTAAACAAATCTATTCTATATAAGGCAAAACAGTTGTAAATCGAACAGACTAAAACACCGATAAAGTAAAACACTTGTGAAACAAAGCAATCGCGAAAACGACGATCGCACGAACAGAACTATGAACTCACGACCGGTATCTGCGAAAATACATTTGAAAGCGTAATAAGAATATTAATTATACGAATAATTCTATCAATGTAGTTTTACTATATAATTTCAATTTAACTTTTAAGAATTAGAAAAAAAGATAGAGTAAATTAGAGCGAGATTAAAATTAATTTGTATTGGTAGAAATGGACCTGTAAAACGCGCTATGGCATGCAAGAATATTTTAACCTACAACTCAATTAATTTTACAATTTATGATTATCCCAATGATATTTTATGGATAACTTCTGTTATCATTGATTTTATTATCATCCATTTTGTCTATTTCGGGTAAGCGCTTCTTGAGCTACACTCTGAGAGAGCGCTAGTGCACGGCAAACTTCTTCAAATCAACGTTCAATAAAAAAAATAAATTAAAAAAATTTAAATTAAATGATCCGAAGCGCTCCAGTAGCCTACGGTTCAGTTTTTTATTATCTAGTTTAGACTTAACTTCACTTAATAATTTGATGATAATGTAAAAACTGTGTTTTTCTAATTATGATTAAGCAGTAAATTATGGTTTTGTAGTGATAACTTTACAGTTATACTTACTACAAAATCATCATTTAGTAATTAAGAAAACTACAGTTTTTATTGTATATTATCATCAGGAAGTTTAACCACAATAACCAATAATTATAACCAGAAAATAAAAAACTATAATATGGTTACCTAAAGATTAAAGATTACCAACAGATTCAATGAAATTCATTCATGAATTTCTTGGTTACCTTTAATCTTTAGGTAACCATATATTTGTGAAATCGGGCCTAAGTGACGCTACGGTCATGCGGATATTTACTTGGCAAAACTGTCATTTTATCGTATCTAATCAGTACAATGAGTATCAAAATATAGCCGTTGACGGAAACGATTGCGATTACTGGTAATTACCATTCGACACACGTGTATTTCGATAAATTAGACCATATAATGGATTCTACGAAGAATTCATATGAGTAATGCTACGATCGTACGAAGTCTACTTGACGAAACTGTCACGCACATATCAACGTATACCGCAATATATATCGTAATATCATATCCTATGAAAATATACCTAATGATAATTATGCACTCTGGATACACTTAGGCGAGAAAACGCTTTTTGAAACACACGCGAGAACGATCTCGAACGAATCATCGGTGTTGACACGTCGATGGTACCCTAAAAAATAAAAATAGGAGTGTAAATCGAATGTAAAGAAAGAGTGATAGAAGCATAAGCGAAGTTAGGAAAAGACTAAATTTATGGCATCGTGGATGCACAGTTTTAGGACGTTTAGGTGGTCATCAGAAGGGTTGGGAATATTCATAAAAGTACCGCGTTACCATTACTATTATTTAGAGAGTAATAATTCTTCACTTTTTTTGTTACTTCTATAATATTAAAATAAGATATTAAATTTAAAATTACGTTATTTTTAATAATCAATATTAATTATAAAATCAATATTAAAACTTGAAATTTTAAACTAGTCTCTATATAGCAAGCTTTTCTTTATATTAAACTTTTTTAATAAATTTTCGATAATTCTTCATATTAATATTTTTATTTTCTAATATCTTCTAATATCTTCTAATATCTAATGCTTATCTTTAAGAAATTAGATTGTAATTTACAAACGCAAATTTTATTAAAAATTTTTATTACATTGTTTTTAAAAATTAATATCATTATTAAGAGTTTCAATATTCACTATCAATGCTGAGAATTTATAGAATCCAAGTTACATGTATACTACAGATTTTCAGTATTGGCAATAACTATCGGAAATGCAGCCTAAGAAATGAAATGCAAAACATTTTACGATATTTAAATTTTTATTATAAAATATTTCTAGCCAATTATATATATATATATATACCCGGGAAAAAATATTTTATATAAAATTATATATAAAATCTTATATAATTGTAAATAAATTTTATATATAATAGTATATAAATTTTATATATAAAACATTTTTTCCCGGAAATATATATGTATATATATGTATATAAATAAAAATGCAATCTATTGAGTTATAAAGATAATAATAAACTATTAAAGTAACGATAAAAAACAGCTGAAAAAAAATGACTGGACCGAATGAATTGTTACTTTTACTATAAAAATGTAACGACAAACAGAAAAAAGTAACAATCGTTATTGAAAAAAAGTAACGGCATTAGTTTATATAAAATAACGCGTCATTTCTCAATTCTGGTCCCTAATGATCCGTAAAACACAAGTCATCAAAATGACGTAAAAATGACTGCAAAATGATTGCTAAAAATCATTTTTCAAACGGAGTAACAATTCATTTTAACGTCATTTTGACGTTATAGGCTGTATTCCAAAATTTACTGCACGTAACGTAAACTTTAGATTTTCAGTACTGGCAGTAAATTTTGGAACACAGTCATAGTGATTCGTTGTTGCGGGTTTGTGCTACATGGGTTATATTTTCAGGTTATCGGCGCACATAAGCGATACGGTATACAATGGCGAAGGCACGGTATTCTATACGATATTTGTGATAATCTCTCAGGGGCGAACGCACTTTTAGACACTAATCATCTGCAAAAGACGCTTACCGATACCAGTCCGATCTACAGCCTGTGGATTTACTCTCGTTTAGGCGGTTTCGTTACCCGATTGAAGAATTTGAAGATCGACGTTTCGAGAATCGCAATATCGCATATCGCGATTCTCGAAGTATCGAGATGGTCGTAGTGGACCAATCACATAACAGTAATAAAGTGGCTGGTTTTATTTGCACTTTCTGCACTCGCAACTTGATAAACACGTATAAAGTGATGTAAAGTACCGAAACGATTTCGTCGTACGGCATTGTTTATTTATGTGCATTTATAAAAATCACGGATAGAAGTTGATGTTAGAACGAACAGTAAACAATAAGTAAATTGCATCGAGAAAATGGCGGAAGGCATATACGCGAAAGTCGTGCAAGCCATGAGAAAACATACTGCTACTGTATTTTGTTTTCATGGTTCTGGTAAAGTAATAATTTAATTGTGTAATTGTAATAAACAAAAGAACGCAATTGTGTAATTGTCTAATTAAATAAAAGAACGCAATTGAATTTTTAAGATAGCTATAACTTTTAAGATTTGCTGTAACTGCTGATCTTTTTCATTGCATTTAATTTTATTTCTGCAGGTGGCACAGCAGAGGGTTTCAAAGAATGGATTGATATTCTTAATAGAGAAAGTCTACGGTTCCCACACATAAAATTTATTTATCTTAACGCACCTAGTCGAGCTTACACACCTAACAACGGAATGGTAATAAGATATAATTATGATTAACTGTGAAATAATTGTGATCCTGGAATGCTTGATTCTTACATTTGTATCTAATTGATACAAATATATATAAAAATATTTGTTTATAAATATATTCAAAAGTTTTTTGTTAGCGACCTATTAGTCAAGAGATTCCAGGATACTCTAGTTTCATAACTTTGTGATTTTACTAAAACTTTGTTATAGATGCAAAATGTATGGTTTGATCGTATAGCAATATCCAATCAAGTTCCAGAACACTTAGAGTCGATCAATTACATGTGTGAAATTGTATCAAAACGGATTTCCCACGAAGTAGATGATGGAATTCCGTTTAACAGAATAATTGTGGGTGGATTTTCGATGGGTGGCTGTCTCTCATTGCATCTAGCATATAGGTATCATCCCCGATTTTTCCCATCAAACCTAGGTGGCTGTTTTGTTATGTCTTCCTTCCTGAACAAGGGTTCTGAAGTCTATGAGGTAAATATAGGATAAAAAAAGCTTTTTGCATTTCCATTTTGCATAACACTGTTCATGTTTGGCTGCGTTCAGTAAGAAAAGTAGCTTTGCAATTGTTGTAAAATTCTTTAACATGATTAATCTTGTCCTTAATTCCTCACTGAATCTAAAAGTATAAATCAATTATGTTAAACAATTTTACAATAGTTACAAAGCTGTTTTCTCTGCTAATAAACCCAGTTTATTCTGAACACATTGAATATTTGAAGGTCGTGTTTGTGTTCTCTCAAGAAGCAGTCATGTTTGTATAATATACTTGTAAGCACTTCGCTGCAAAGAAATATTTTGCTGCTGTGTGAATATCATTTTAAAATTGAAATTGATGGAATAACCCCTTTGTCCTATATAATGAAATAAAAAATATTTCACAACTAAAGAATACTTCATAAAAAGCATCATAAAATACTTGATTTTATCAGAATTTTTACAAAAGAGTTCCACAAGATTTATTTATTACTCATATTTCATTACAGTATTTGAAAATGAAACCAGAACTTGGCAAGATACCACTTGTTCAATACCATGGCACAGCAGATACTTTGGTTCCTATTGAATGGGGTGAAGAGAGCGCTAAGAATCTGAAGGATCTTGGAGTAAACGTGAAGTTTATGCCGCTGCAAGATGTGGAGCACGACTTGAGTCGTGAAGAAATCCAAAATTGGAAAGACTGGCTCCTCCAGATCTTGCCAGATAAATAATATTCAAATTGTTAAATATTAAAATCATTGTTGATATACTATAATCAAGGCTGTAAAATGGTGTATATTGCATTTGTTTTTAGAAATATATCTACGGTAGGTGTTATGTAACGGTGGCAATAAAAATTAAGTTTTATTACGATACGTAAGAGTTATATCAATTGGTAAAGAAGTGATAAATTTAAGAAAGACCCTGACTCCTGTATGCAACAAGATGAATTGTGCCATTATGTCATTGGGTGATTATATGGTACGCGCATGTCATGAATAATGTTAATTCACAAGATCAATAAATTGGCCCCGACCTTCAAAATATTTAAATCTTTCCACACTTTATTAATTCGCTTTGTTCCTTACATACATCTTATTTTTTCCTTAAGTCGGAGCAATACATTATTTTAGGAAAATTGTTCAAAATAGTAAAGTACAAAAAGTACTTTTAATACAAAAAGTAAAGTATTATCTTATGACAAATTAAAAAATCATGTTAATATTGTAAGTTTATAAATTTTAATCAATTGATAAAAAATAAAGTATTTATCGATAGATTTAAGATTTATCTGCTAGCAAAAACAATTGAAGCTCATCGTTTAGCGTAATTACACATAATTACGCGAAATTGGCAGAGCGTTTGTTTTTGGCTAACAAAATATGAATATTTTCATTATTAAAATTTCTCTTCATTATTAAGTAAAACTGGAAATTTGAATAAAATCGATACTATATCCAATTGACCCGCTTTTTACGTAAAAATAAACGAACGTGTTCACATTGTTAACAACTTGTGTTTATTACATGCTTTCATCACATGCAATCTTTCGCTCAAATTGATTCATTTTTCGATTTTATTATATTTCATAATGCTAATTGATGTTTCTTAACTAAATTCACGAATCTGTAGAATACACTTATGACTTATTTTATATCAATAAGTGTTGTTTACAAATTGTTTTTTAGATTGTTTCGAATCCAGACAATAAAATATTTATTATCTGCCTGTTACTAGGTGATCGGAATATATCGGCGGCGGATCATTAGTGCATATTGTAGAACAAAAATGTAGCAATAAATTATTAACCTTACATTTACATACATTTGAATGTAATACAACATTTCGATCATATTTTATTTCTTCGATTTTCCATAATTAAAAGAGAAAACATGTTTAAAAAATTTATTAATATTAATTTTGAGATTTTAATAAAAGATTATTAAATTCTGGAATCATTGGAATTATCTCGCGGATTATAAATACGTTTATGATGATTGTTTCAGTGATATTGTATCAATTTTTTAATTCTCAAGGATTTCCGAGTGCTTCCACATTAAGGTTCATCCAAATAGACGCACGTGAAACATAGATGAACCAATCGAACATCAAATCGAGAACAGTTATATTGTTGCTATTCTGTGTTTTGCGCGCGCAATTATTGAGCTCTCTCTGGTTAAGATTTTCGAGTGTAGGCAATGCGCGATGATGCAAATCTAACAGCTTTTAATACTAGTTTATCCACGTCGATGTGTTGTCGCATTGAGACACTTGGCTGTCGAAAGAAGAAAAATAGTTTTTTGACAATGTGTGTGATGTGGATGGTCGCGATTATCCTGGTCTTTCACTTCCTTCTGCTCTTACTCTTAGAATTTAATCGCTGCTTCTTATTATTCCTGATGAAAATTTTTCTGAGAATTTTTCAGAATTTTACGTAAGTTTGAAATTTTTTCAAAACTTTTGAATAATTATAATTATTTAGAAAATTTCTCAGATTTTTTAAAACAAATCGAAACATTTTTTAGAAGCCGAACAAATCTACATTTTTTCTAAAATTCTTCATACATGTGAATTATAAACAATTCTAAAATTTCTATAATTTCTGATGAAATGTTATAAAATTTGAAGAAGTTTAAGGTATTTATTCAGAAATTATAGAATAAGAAAATATTTTAAAATTCATGTATATAAAAAATTTTAAGAAAACAGTAGACTTTCCTAGTATTTCTGAAACGCATTTTAATCCATAAAAATTTTTTAAGGAAAATTATTTTATCAATTTTTCCCACAATTAAAAAAATATGTTTATAATATATTTTTTATATTAATAGAATATATTTTTTATTTTAATAGAAGATTTATCAATTCTAGAATCATGTGGCTTGTTATAAATTAATAATTATGGTAGATATATTTATAAGAATTATCTTGATATTTTAACATCCAATAGAGTGCATGCACTATCCCGACAAAAATAAATATAAGGGCATTAACATGTAAGAAAAAAATAATAAAAGCGTAAACGAAGCTTTTAAGGGATGAAAATAAAGAGAACAACACATAAAAGGAAAATTAATGGTTCTTTTATATTTCGTTTGCTCAATGTTCACCTATAAAAGTTTCGTTTACGCTTCTGTGACTCTCTACGCTTTTTATTTTCGCCAGGATATATTATCCGAAAAATATTATATCTACTTGCATATAAAAACATTGCTTCATCCAATCGATTATTACGTTGCCAACTTTAAAGATACCGAAGATATATTATGCTTTACATATGAAATTATTAAGTCGATTATTACATTATTAACTTTATAATTATTACAATAACTAATATTACTCTTCTAGTTTATTTCAATTCGTAATTACATCATACTTTATTAATACTTTTAGAAGTTCTTGTTGATAAAATTAGGTCGCAATTTTAAAGACCATCTGAATTTTTCTTGGATGCGATTTCATCAAAAGCTTCAAATTACATCAGCAGTTAAGAGTCTATCCAGACAAACTTGCCACATAAACGTATGTATAAAGAAAATCCAATCGCATTTCTATTATAAAAGCCCATAAAATGTAATTGAATAACTTTCTTTACGCATACGTTTATTATATGTTATACAAGTTTGTCTAGATACATACCCTATAACATCCTATACGGAGATGAGAAAATTTTCTCGACTTTACTGCTTTCCACCGACACGACGACGAGGGTGAGGTAAAATCGCGCCGACGAGTCCACCGATGACGACGTGTGCGCAGTGAAACGAACAGGGCGAACTGCGACGGGATTGCTGCACCCCTTCGAGTGGCTTCGGGGTGGGTGGTAGATAGCCCCACTGGCCTGGCGTCGTTCTCGCCACCGACGTCGCGTCGTGACACCGACATTCACGTTTCGTCGTACTATCGACTCGCGAGGGAGATGTAAAACGCATGTTATTAATCGCGACACGAAAACACATCTCGCGACGTACGCTCGACGTGGGATCGATGTTCAACGACGGGTGGTCTGTGGAGAACGGGCGTGAAAGAGGAATGAATCGGTGCGTCCCTTGAGCTAAGAATATTACTATAGGGAGAAATCTTTAAAAGGAAACAAGATATACACACACACACATATATATATACATACAAAATGCATATACACATATAAACATAAATGAGGTGCAAGCATATTATAAAACGTGAAATCGATACTTGCGATGAGAAGTTCTGCAGAGTGAAAACGTGAACCATAACATTTTAGAAAGAGAAGGGAGCGTAGACGCTCGTGGACGTGCGAGTGAAGTGATTATATGTGGTGGATGTCGTCAAGGGTGGATCTGGGTCATCGTGAATGGGTTTCTCAGCGAATAAGAACGAAATAGGACTTTACATTCTACCGATGAAAACGGATGAAAGTTTGAATCACAAAAGTTGATGCAGTTTAGTGTATTATATTGAGTACACTGAAACTGCATTTAGGTCATTGAAGTGTTTTTAACACATCTTAACGAAGAGCAACACAGAATACAACTTCGGATATTCAGAGAACTTATTATATCTTATAATATCAAATGATTCTTTTTTAAAAAGTAGTATAAATGCATAAGTTGTAACATGGTGAGAGACACATGATGCGTTAATTAATAATTTATTAATAGAATTAATTATATTTACACAATAACATTAATTACTACTTCATTGTGTGTTCTAATCATGATATATCGTATAAACGGCGCTAGATAATCAGCGGAGAAATTACAACAAAAATTGGACCAAAACTGACGCGATATCTCCGCACACGATGGCATTAATTATCGCGTTGAGATAGCGAATCCTCCGTATCATCTTCCGGGTCTAAGGCTACACTGGTGAATAGTATCGACGGTAAATAATATGGCGCGTATTATTCCGCAGTCGATGACGTCAAGTAACGAGAGACATGTAGACTGTTCGATGTGAAAAGACTGGGCAACGAAAGTGGATGCAACAAAATTTCCCAAAGGACGAGAAATAAATTTCCCAAAGGGAAGAAGCATCGACGATCGACTTACAGAGATAGAAAGTGAGAAATAGGTTTTCGTGACCACAATAAAGCTTTCTTAATCATTTCTGAACAAATACACGCATCATCTGTTTTTTAAATCTTTTTCGAGAAGTAAGGAATGTGTGTTGTGAAAGATAATTCTTTATTTATTATTTCATAAAATTAAAGTCTCCCCCAGTTATTTTAATACTTTCAACATTTATTTTATATAAGAGACTTAAACGCTGTGATATCTTAAAAAAAAATGTTAACGAACTTTGTATGAAGAGAGAAAAGAACGTGCGATCGATCGTGCATGTTTCGAGAGATTCTTACAAATTTTCACAGATATCCCTAGGATCTTTTTTTTATACTTAAACAACACAAAGGAGAAGACGTTTTTCTTGAGAGAGAAAAGAATCTTCGAGCCGAATATATCGATTTTTCACTTGGAAACTTTAAACTATCTCGACAAATAGGGCGGACACCCAAGAGACAGCTGAAAGAATAAATCAAGATAAATCTCAGAGAGAGAAAGAGAGAGGGGGGGGAGAGAAGAAGGTAAAGCGTTCCAAGAGGGTTGCAATACGAATATCGAGTGCAGGGTTGCCAAGAAAGAAGTCGAACGATTTCTTGCCACAATAGTGCCAAGAAAGAAGTCGAACGATCAGTGGCATTCCTCTCGATTGAGAAATAAAGATATCGTTGGAGAAGCAGCGTAGCAGGTTGATACACACAAAGTGGGGACGTTGTGGAAATGGGTCAAGAGTGTCTCGGCGATGGTAGTGTGGCAGCTTCTATTTAACGTGTTCCGCGTTGAATTGTGCTTGAAATCTGTACGTGTACCATATCGAACGCAATACAGCGCGGATTAATACTTGGTGACAGGTCCTCTTGGACAAATTGCAAATAATAGTGCTGCAACATTAGTGAATCGTAATAAGTGTGTGTCATCATGCGAATTTCAAATCGCGTGACTGTTTCTGCGATTTAACGAAACTAAAGTAACAATCTGCGCATTTATCGCCGATTAAATTCGCAAATTAAATTGCATCTTTATAAGTAGCTATTTTTTTTATTAACTGATGTAATATAAGGCGATTAAAAATTTATAAATGAAATTGATTTAAATTTCAGCTTACAAACGATGCGAACTACACTCGCGTCCTCTTTATTTCACGATCGATAAAAAATCCATAGATTACTCTGGATGTTAATTCCGAGATTAAAGAATTTACAACGATGCCAAAGAACTAGTTGATCTGTGTAATGTAACGAACGCGAGATCATCCAATCCAAAAAGTACAACGAGAATCACAACGAGAAACCCAAGCTCGATGCATTCCGCGGTGCATCGCGCACAAGAGATGCGTTTATCACGACAGAAGCGCATCCGGTCATCGTCCACGTGCTGAAATGCGCGAGTTGTCAATGTGATCGTATCATTACCGTTTCTCTTGAGGAGACGTAGTCGTCTCCTCTCACAGATTGACGAATTCAACGAGTCTTCAGTCACTTTTTATGATTTACGGATCGCACAGAGCTACAGAGTCAGCAACCACCACGGGGATCGCTTGGCTTCACAATATCACCGTTCAAGGTAAATCATCCCTGTGAGATCCAGTGAGATCTTATTTTATTATTGTCTTGTACGTGTTATTTATGTAAAAATTGTGTAAGAAATTTTATATAACATCTCATATATTTTTAACGAATTATATTTTGTTTGTTTTGTTTTATACTATATACATAAATATTTAAATATTAATGAAGAAGGATAAACATAATTAATTAGCATTATGTCGACTTAATAATATACATATTAAATAAATAATTAAAATATACAGATTGACGAATACAGGGTGTTAATTAAGTTTGCCATACTCAACAGAGCGATTCTTTGGTTTATTTCAAGTAAAAAGTCTATATAAACATGTGTCTTAAACGTCTTAGTTTCTGAAATAAAAAAATTTAAACGTGTAGTAATAATCTGTTTATTTGAAAGAAATACAGCTTAAACTAGTCAAAAACTAGTCAAAAACAGAAAAAAAAAACAGGCTTCAGTTCTTCTGATGAAATAAAATAATTAGATGAATTGTTGAAAATGTCCACCTTGCGCCATGATACATCCATCGAGCCTTCTTCTCAAAGATTGACGTACAAGCTCAAAGATACCAGGTGTGTTACGTATTGCCTTGCATGAAGCAACTATTCGATTCCTCAAATCATTCTCAATTGGGGTGGTATAAACCAATGATTTCAGATGCCCCCAAAGGAAATAACCCAAAGGATTTATCGTTTCGTCAAACATTTGCGAACATTCACCTGTATTTCGGAAACTAAGCCGTTTAGGACACATGTTTATATGGATTTTTTTACTTGAAATAAACCAAAGAATCGCTCTGTTGAGTATCGCAACATACTTAATTAACACCCTGTATATATTGCTGATTAATTTCTTATTGTTTCTATGAAAAAATTATTTATTCATTAATAAATTTACACTATATTTTACTGTGATTTATTATTCTGTGTATAATATAATGATTTATTAATAAAAATAATATTTACAATATGTAAAATAATGCTCGTATTACATATTTGGAAGATGGATTAATTTCGTAGTAACCACCGTCCGTAGTTTAATAATACAGTTGTTTAAATACATAGTTCATCTCTCGCGAGCTATGATTGTAATTTCTTATCTAGTTTTGTGTCTATGTTTTTCTAGCGTTACTTTTAGTCACACAGTGCATCGACCATGAAGATTAGGTGGTGTTGTAAAACTTTACACGCGAGCGCGCATAAAGATTGATCGACTGTGTCCGATACTTGCCCTACTCTCTCTGTGCCTATGTAATGTATTACGATGATCGCATAAAGCTTTACTTTCACCGTCGTCAACGGTCAAAGGGGAGAACTATGAAATTCGACTTATTAGCATAAGAGAGAGTTCACGCACGTAAAACGGTTTCGCCCACGTTTACATAATATTCATCGCTATTCATAAGGTATACAACAAACAGGAAGTAATTTAAATTCCAAATTTTAATATATAATTACATGTCAACAATAATTAGTTACAGTTTACCTGCTTTATGAAGCATTCTTAAAAATAATTCTTATCTTAATAATCAATAATATTATATTCCTGTCTGTATTATATATAATTATTCATTATATATTTATTCATATATTAATAAAGAAAAAGATTTTTTAATTAATGATACACTCAGAGAATTAGCTTTTAAAATTTAAACATTATAAGAATTTTAGACACCGTATGTATAAATGCATCAAATGCGATAAAGAAAGCCATGATCGGTCAAAGTTAAATGTTTC